AGTTGCCAAGGTTGGAGACCCCTTCTGTAGTGGATAAATAATGGCTAAAATGACAATAGTGATAGCACTTAGACTTAGGTATATAAGTCTTTACAGTACTTTACAGCCCTTTCTAAGCTGTTTAGGGTCAGCATATTGCCCCCAACGATCTGGGTCCTCATCCTTGATAGATGACAGGTATCTCCGTCTGGGAATGAGATTTTATTGGGGTTCCTCCCCCCCTTCCTTTTCTAGAATCATAGAATTACAGAGTTGGAAGGGACACCTTGGAGGTCATCTAGTCCAACCCCCTGCTCGAGCAGCAGAGAGTGTCTATTCCAAATATTAGCCTCTACCTAGGGTCGAACTTACAGCCTCCTGAGGGTGAGAGGCGAGAGCTCCACCTCTAGGCCACCGGAACTGAGGATTAAAAGGATTTTAATTTTTTTTAAAAAGGATTCTGCATTAAAAATAATTTGCAAGATGGAGAGGAACTACGGAAGCTTTACGAGAGCTTTCCATCTAAGGCGCCCGAACACCAGGGGATCGGCGGCTTCACAAGACGAGCCTGGGGGGGGGGGGGGGAACGAGGGTATTGGGGCTGCCCCTTCCAGCCGCCCACCTACCTGAGCCCCGCTTGCCTCCAGTAAGACACCATGACGGCTGCTTGCTTGGTCGAGGAAATCGCCCGCCCAAGGGCCGCAAGGTCGCCCAGTCAAACAGCGGGAGGCTGCTTCGCCGGAGTCTAACCCGGAAGTGCTGAAAGACCCGGAAATGAAAACCAAGTCGACCAATCAAAACTCACGTCGCATCGATACCCCGTTCGACTGACTGGCTATTTACGGTTCGGCTATTTTCATTGGTTGCGTGAGCATAAAACCTTCGATGAGCGTAAAACCTATCCTCTGGAGCAAAGTTGGCTGAGGAATTCTGGGAGTTGAAGTCCACAAGTCTTAAAGGGGCCCTGGTCTGGAGGAATCGAAGAATTTCGCCCACGTGGTCTAACACCCTCTGGGGATCGCAGCGCCGCAGAATTTGGAAATTCTGAGTTGTTGGTGGCGGTGGGTTCGTTACGTATTGTTGCATTGATTTATTTTTCTTAACGTGTTTTACATCTTTTATTAATCAAAGTTATCAAATTTCTACACCACCCATCTTTATCTGAGCGACGCTGGGCGGTTTTAGAAATAAAAAGCGTAACGCGATGTGGAAAACAGAATTAAAAAGCAATTAAAAGCGAAATTAAAATCGCAGGTTAAAAGTTAAGAGGCGGAGGGAGCGCCATCAAGCATGACCATATTAAGAGCAACTGCATTCTCTTCGCTGATGATGTAAAGCTGTTCAATACCACAGACAATACTGCTACCCTTCAAAAAGACCTTGACTATGTATCAGAATGGTCAAACAAATGGCAACTTCAAATCTCAACAAATAAATGCTCAGAAAATAAATTACAAGCTGAATAGTCAAGACCTTGTTGATGATCCAAACTCTGTCAAGGATCTTGGAGTACTAATCTCTAATGATCTAAGTGCTAGAGTCCACTGCAACTACATAGCCAAAAAGGCATTAAGAGTTGTTAACCTAATCCTATGTAGCTTTTTCTCTGGTAATATCACACTACTAACTAGAGCATACAAAACATTTGCTAGACCAATACTCGAATACAGCTCATCAGTCTGGAACCCACATTACATATCTGATATTGGCACAGTTGAGAAAGTCCAGAAATATTTTACAAGAAGAGTTCTCCACTCTACTGGTTGTAGAATACCCTTATGCTACCAGATTCAAAATTCTAGACATAGAAAACCTTGAATTACGCCGTCTTCGGTCTGATCTAAGTACGGTATATAAAATCATACATTGCAATGACTTACCTGTCAATGAATACTTCAGCTTCAACCATAACAACACAAGAGCACACAATAGATACAAACTCAAGGTTAACCGCACCAAACTTGATTGCAGGAAATACGACTTCAGCAACAGTGGTCAATGTCTGGAATACTCTACCTGACTCTGTACTTTCTTCCCCAAACCCCAAAAACTTTAGACTGTCTACTATTGACCTCACCCCTTTCCTAAGAGGTCTGAAGGGGGCGTGCATAAGCGCACCAACGTGCCTACCGTCCCTGTCCTATTGTTTCTTTTATTTTTCTTACATGTACCCATTTCATGTATTCATAACTATGTATATACTTATACCTATTATCTTGTAAGTGATTGACAAATCAAAATAAATAAATAAATAAATAAATCCCAAAATCTCAAGACTGTAAAGCCTACAAACTTGAAATTTGGCACATATGTTCCTCTTGGCTTCTAGGTGCTTACTAAGAAAGGATTTTTCAAAATGACCATTAGAACGCTAGTATTTCCTATATTATTATTAACATGCTGATGCTAAGGAGTTCTACTCCCCCTCCCCACCTGAAAAGAAATCTGTTTCAAATGCAAAACACAAAGCAGGAGAGGAGTTTCAGTTTTAGTTTCACAGCAGCAACCAGTTTTAGTACAGAACAGTTGAGCTAAGCCACTCCCAGGCTCCTTACTGTCTCCTTGCTCACACAGCAAATATTGTTTCAGTTTCCAAACAGCCCTCAACTCTCACACACTGACAGGACAATAGCCAGATGAATACTGATGGATGCTGGTAAGCAGAGGCACAATTCCCCCCCTCCCCTTATTTTCCTTCCCCAAGTTTTGTAGTTTTGTAATGAAGCACAGGTATAGAGCTACTACCTTAATATTCCTTCATTGTGCTATTTCTTCAGCAACACCAGCCCTGTGGGTGAATTGGGATGAGATTGTCCTTGGTGCTATTGTAGCTTGGTGGCTTGCATGCAGATGTTTCGTTACTCAACTAGTGTTAGCTGAAGTGACTGGCCCAGTTACACAGCTTTCAAAACTTAAATCCATGTATTTTCCTCACTGGTGATGTAAAATTGGGACCGCACTATGTAACTGTGCAGTGCTTATTAGCACATTTTCTCTGCTTCTGTATACAAGTAGTCCTCCACTTACAACAGTTCGCTTAGTGACTTTTCAAAGTTACAACGGCACTTAGAAGTGACATGACCCTTTTTCACACTTATGACCATTGCAACATCCCCATGGTCATGTGATCTACATTTGGATGCCTGGTAACTGGTTCATATTTAGGATGCTTGCAGTGTCTTGGGATCATGTGATTACCTTTGTGACCTTCTGACAAGTAAAGTCAATGGAGAAGCTTAACAACTGTGTTACTAATTTAACAACTTCAGTGATTCACTTAACAAATGTGGCAAGAAAAGTGGTAAAATGGGGCAAAACTCACTCAACAAATTTCCCAGCAACATAAATTTTGGGCTCACTTATGTTCATAAGTTGAGGACTACCTGTAATCCTTACTGACCCAAACTGAGGGCTCTCAGCTTGTTTTGGTGGGGACCAGTGATCCCTGCACATCTTAATTTTTTTTTTTTTAAGAGAAACTCTCCATTGCTCTGCTTTTCATTTCAGTGGAGTTGCCTTTTTTCCCCATGACAATTGAATAACTATTTGGGATCCTAGTAGATATGCCTGAACATTCTGTTTGACTTATAGCAGTGCTTCCCAACCTGAGTAAATTATCCAAAATTGGGTGGTTTTTTTCCTTTGGAAAACAGCACAGGAACCCATTACCCAATCATAACCAGGACTTTTTAAAATTTCCATTTAAATAATAAAGTGTTTTGCCTACATTGGGTAAAAGAAGCTTTCTGATAATTGGTTTTGGATCGTAAAAAAATTGGGAAGCACTGATTTAGATTAACAAGGCATTCTGTCAAACCTCCTCTCTGTAACAGAAGATACTTCTCCAAAGCTACTCTATTCTCCAGATTTAAGAAAATCATATAACTTTGAATTATAAAGTTGGATGGAACCAGAAAACCTCTGTAGTATTCAGGAAAATTAAATTAACAAGAGGTGGGACATCCAGTCACTCCAGATGTGGAAAATGCACAATTGTAGGTAAACTGTTCCACTATTGTCCAATTCTTACTGTAAGGATATTTTTACCTATTTAAATAAATGTAGGTACCTGAAACTTGTATTCATTATTTCTGGTGTTAATTTCTGTGGTAATATTTTCTCTATAGCACATTGACACACCTCTTCCCTCTGTTTTCTTCACATTGAAATAATTTCCTTTCCAAATTCCAAATTAAAAGCCAGCTTGGTTAAGGTCGCAGATTAGAAATTGGGGGACTGAGAGTTTTACAGATAGTCTTAGACCTATAACCTAAGTTGAGATTGGAATTTCTTGTCAGTCTTAGATGAAAGTGTCTTACATGAAAGTGATGGTGAAAATAGGAGAGAGCATTATATATGCTCCCCTGGGTTGCACAAAATGAAATTGGTCTATAAATCCAATTAATCAAGAGGCCTCGGGATCAGAATGTGTATCTGAGCCCATACAATGACTGTTAATTTGTTACAGGAGAGTTTGTTTATGTTGCTTTTAACTATTGTTAACTGCCCAGTGCCCAAAGGCATACACCTGAGATGAGTGGCCATATAAACTGAAACAGTGAATGAATGAATCAATGACCACTCAGTGCAGAGCCATTAATACAGATTCTCAGAATGTGAGTAGCCAGCCAGTTGTGGAGCTATCATATGGAGCCAAACAAACTACACTTTAATGTCCCTAATACTGCTAGAGGATTAGGGAAAAAAATAAAAAAGGCCTGATTGGGAAAAACAAAGAAAAGCAAGTCATACATAATTTAAAAAGGAAATTGAATATATGTAGAACTTCGGCAAAGAGTAGCCACAGGCTGCCAAAGAGTAGCCACAGGCTGCCACTTTGACTTTCTTAAATGTATTAAAGCTTCTGACCAAGACAGATCCTTCCCACATACACCCACCCCTTTGGATTCAGTTTGTTTCTATTGTCTGGATGAGACCTTCTCCCCATTCACCATGGTCAACCTGGGCCGCTGCCATTCATCACTCAAGGAGGAGTATTTGACATTGAATTAAAACAGAGATTAGAGTATCAAACATTAACCTTTTTTAATAACATTGTCTCTATAAAATGTTTTTGAAGTTTTTAAAAATGAAAAAGACAAAACATAACCCAGTAGAAAAATATTTTAACATTTAAATGCATTGGTAAATGTTTGCAATCACACCTCACCTCACAAGAATAAGTACCTTCTACTGAAATATTAACTTTTAAAACTAGCTTCAGGTCCATATTACAGTATTTACAGACATTCTTAAGAACAAAATATTAAATACCGCAGATGAGACTATTAAAGGAATCAGAATTCAGAAATTAAGATATGTCTAGAACTCATTAGTTCTTGCCATTTATGACAGATACCAGAGTTCTACTATTGTCCTGCTCATCAAGGATACTTAAATTTTACATTGTACCTGTATCACAGACATAAAAGCCTTTTGGGTTTTCCAGTTTTTGACTACATAAATACTCCTCTGTGAAGAAAGGACTACTTTGAAATTGTAAGGGAACTATTCTTTTACTTATGGAATTTAGATATATTTGTTCTGAAGTACCTAGACTTCTGTAGATAGAAGGTAGGGCAGTATGGATATATAGTAAGGAACAAAACAAAATCTGTTTACGTGTGTATATGTAAAGAGAAACAAAGTATAATTTAAGAGACTTCAGTTGTCTGGAGTACATAAATCATGATTATGCATTTTAAAAGGGAGGAGTGATTTCTTCCTAAGAATGTAGTTATTATACAATTTTTGATTCTTAGAAAATGTGGGACCAAAATGAATTAAGTTGAACAAGTTGCATTGTTCAACAATTTAACTATCTTATCAACTAGAGACTTTGAAAAACTGAAATTGTAAGCCACTTTTAGTTCGTATCTAATTATATAGCACACAATTTCTGCCACATTCAGAATAAGTTTTCAAAACGGTGGAACTTCTGTAAACATGAATGTTAAATATCAAACTTCTCAGGTTAGCAAATGGTAACTTTCATGAAAACAGCCTATAAAAAAACACTTTAGATCCTATTTCAAGTAATAGTGTTTGTTCTTCAAAGCCAAACCCTGTAACAAACTGCTCAAAATCTTGTGCCCAGAATATATTCTGCAAACACATGAACTGTCTTGAATGCCTGCATTCCAGTTTAAGGAATGTACAATTCAACAGAAAGCCATGCGTCCTACCTTCATGTACAGTTCTCTCCAAAATTTTAATTTAAAAATCTAAACTACAGATCTATTTTTTAAATAGGTATAAGAATAAATATTTCCAGCTTTGAGGAAGCTTGAAAGTGTTCCTTTCAAATTGTTAGGCCTAACAACTTGGTGTAGCTTCTATACTATTCTTCCACAAAGGCTGCTGCTGCCATTGGAGATCTCATATTTCCTCTTGCTGAAGAAGTGAATTCTTCTATTTCGGCATTAAGTTTGCTGATTACCCATTCCAATGCTTCACGTCCCTGTTGAAGACACACCTTTATTGAAACAAGTCCAAGTATCTCAGAGGTCATAGTAATTTACAGAAGTGAAACTGATCATAAATATGAATTACATTGGTATTACTTTAACATTTAGAACCACTAGGTGAAAGGGTGTAAAGTCTCTGTGTTGAATTAAGAATAAGACTTCTTTTTGTGATGGCCAATTTTTTTTAAAAAAAAATGCTGTTTGCTCAGTCTTTTGGAAGCATTTAATTTATATTATCTATTGGCAGCTACCTTTTGTTTTTATTGTGATACATTTTAATCATGGTGTGAATACCTTGACTCAGAAGAAGGAAAAAGAAAACATGCATAGAGTCATGGAAAAACAGATCAACCCAAAGGAAAAGATACCCATTGTAAATGTAAAACTGATAGGGAAAACTGACCCCCAAAAAAGATATCACATATGACTATCTTGATGTTCAAACTAAATAGAGGCAGCTTAAATAGATAATATAAAATGTTCAAACTAAATAGAGACAGCTTAAACAGATAATATAATATGAAAGAAGAATCTAAAATTGTGAAAAATTCCACTAGGCCATAAAAGCTTCTTGGGTTCTCTTGCCTCTTAAACGGGAGTGGGCAATGAATTTCCCCAAGGGGCCACATGAGAAACTGGAATTGTTGTGGAGGGCTGCTGCTCTGCCCTCTGCTGCCATTGTTCCATCCCCGTTGCAGCTGCCCTGCCTGCACCCACCACTGTGGGCCAGACAGGGACCAGCCAGCGGCCAGAAGAGCTGGCGGCAGACTCGGACAGTGAGGAGGAACATGGGCCAGTCCTGGAGTCTGGGGAAGGCTCTGATGAGTGCTCTGCATTGGAGGCAGAGATGGGGCCAGGGACGCCTGACAGTTATCAGCTGTCTTCGGAGTTGGAGATTAGTGGGAAAGAAGAACAGCTGGAGCCTGTTCCCAATGTGCGCATGTTCAGAACTGCCAGGAGAAGGGAACAGTTAAGGAACAAGGGTTGACTTGGTAGTAAAGGCACAGGTGGATGGTGAATGGCGCCTCCCATAAGGAATAAAGAGGAGCGAAAGGGGAGTGGTGTTTGCAGGAGACAATTAGTTCATTTAATTAGGGTGAAGATTTGTGACTCCTTGCCAAGTATTTTCTGGTAAAGCGCTATGCTTGGAAGCTTTCGGCCTGGCAACTCTCCAAGCCTGATAAGGTCCATAGTTCTAAATCACTCTTGAAAGACTGTTTGCTGGGACTTTGCTGGATATGAATGAGAGGAATTCACATTAGCCTAATAAAAAGAGGTTTTATTGGGACGAGGAGTTTGCTTTGTGATTTTGTGAAGCCTATAGGTCAGAACAGAATCTCTGTTAACTTTTGCAAGGATGTTTCTGGTATGACATCATTAATTTTGATTGTAATGCTTGAATTAAAAAAAAATCCAGTTTTCTACTTCAACACTTCTCAAGGTGACTGGGGATAAATATAATTCTTCATAATACTTTTGTTATGCTTATCATCTATATGATCAATATTGTTACCTTTTCAATTCTTATAAACATTGATTAAATGGCTAAAAGTAATACATTATCAAAACAAATTCACAGTAAAAAAACCTGTTGCAGGATCCAATCTGGGTTAGTCAGTGGGATCAGAGGTGTAATCGTCTGAGGTTTCGGACTCATGCTGGAGCCCATTCTCAGGGTACGTCTCTCTTATTAGAGCTTAGAGGATGAGCTCCAGCACAAGTCCAAAAGCTCGAAGACTAAACCCAGATTGGTCCTGCAATATGTATCCAGGGACACATATGTTTGCCTTTATTTGTGAAAATAAATCTAATTTAATCTCGCAGGTGAATAACTTTTATTTATTTTCCCTACTAACAAATGGAAGAGGGAAGAAATCATTCAGGGTATCCTTAAGTTTGAAGTAGGTAATATTCATAAAATATAACACAGCCATTAATCATCTCATATTTTCATTCCATCTCAACTCATCCACTATTCTCTCCCGTCTTCTCAAAATAAGTTGGCAATACGTACTTTTTTGGCATTAGAAGAAATTGTGTTTTCCATTAGTCCTTCTAAGTAACTGCTGAGACTAACTCCTTTTACACAGATGGTTGCTTCTTGAGTCAAAATAGTTCTATGGAAAAAAAACAGCAATAGTTTACCAATTTCTCAAAAAGTAATCAGAAGCTACCTTTGTTCTTCCTATATCTATTAAAAATTACACATATTACAACTACCACCAATCAATTTCCATAGGGATAGTGTTCAGATACACTAAGCTAGTAGGGAATGGGTAACCAATAATCTCAGAATTGTTTTAAACACTAAGGTGTGTGTATGCATTTCTGTGTTTGCGTGGATGGCTCTTGGAATTCCTTCTGACAAAGGTTACTGAAGAGAGTACTGTTTTCTACCTTAATAATACACTGCTCAAAAAAATAAAGGGAACACTTAAACAACACAATGTAACTCCAAGTCAATCACACTTCTGTGAAATCAAACTGTCCACTTAGGTAGCAACACTGATTGACAATCAATTTCACTTGCTGTTGTGCAAATGGAATAGACAACAGGTGGAAAGCATAGGCAGTTAGCAAGACATCCCCAATAAAGGAGTGGTTCTGCAGGTGGTGACCACAGACTACTTCTCAGTTCCTATGCTTTCTGGCTGATGGTTTGGTCACTTTTGAATGCTGGCGGTGCTTTCACTCTAGTGGTAGCATGAGACGGAGTCTACAACTCACATAAGTGGCTCAGGTAGTGCAGCTCATCCAGGATGGCACATCAATGTGAGCTGTGGCAAGGAGGTTTGCTGTGTCTGTCAGCGTAGTGTCCAGAGCAGGGAGGCACTATCAGGAGACAGGCCAGTAAATCAGGAGACGTGGAGGAGGCCATAGGAGGGCAACAACCCAGCATCAGGACCACTACCCCTGCCTTTGTGCAAGGAGGGACAGGAGGAGCACTGCCAGAGCCCTGCAAAATGACCTCCAGTGAGCCACAAATGTGCATGTGGCTGCTCAAACAGTCAGAAACAGACTCCATGAGGGTGGTATGAGGGCCCAACATCCACAGGTGGGGGTTGTGCTTACAGCCCAACACCATGCAGGACGTTTGGCATTTGCCAGAGAACACCAAGATTGGCAAATTTGCCACTGGCGCCCTGTGCTCTTCACAGATGAAAGCAGGTTCACACTGAGCACATGTGACAGACGTGACAGGGTCTGGAGACGCCGTGGAGAACGTTCTGCTGCCTGCAACATCCTCCAGCATGACCGGTTTGGCAGTGGGTCTGTAATGGTGTGGGGTGACATTTCTTTAGGGGGCTACACAGCCCTCCATGTGCTCGCCAGAGGTAGCCTGACTGCCATTAGGTACCGAGGTGACATCCTCAGACCCCTTGTGAGACCATATGCTGGTGCGGTTGGCCCTGGGTTCCTCCTAATGCAAGACAGTGCTAGACCTCATGTGGCTGGAGTGTGTCAGCAGTTCCTGCAAGACGGAGGCATTGATGCTATGGACTGGCCCACCCATTCCTCAGACCTGAATCCAATTGAGCACATCTGGGACATCATGTCTCACTCCATCCACCAACCTCACGTTGCACCACAGACGGACCAGGAGTTGGGGGATGCTTTAGTCCAGGTGTGGGAGGAGATCTCTCAGACCATCCGCCACCTCATGAGCATGCCCAGGCGTTGTAGGGAGGTCATACAGCACGTGGAGGCCACACACACTAGTGAGCCTCATTTTGACTTGTTTTAAGGACATTACATCAAAGTTGGATCAGCCTGTAGTGTTTTTTATCACTTTAATTTTGAGTGTAACTCCAAATCCAGACCTCCATGGGTTGCTAAATTTGATTTCCATTGATAATTTTTGTGTGCTTTTGTTGTCAGCACATTCAACTATGTAATGAACAACTTATTTAATAAGAATATTTCATTCATTCAGATCTAGGATGTCTTATTTTTGTGTTCTTTATTTTTTTGAGCAGTGTATATAGTACAGATAGTGCTTGACTTATAACCATTCGTTTAGTGACTGAAGTCACAATGACACTGAAAAGTGATTTTTGACTGTTTTTCACACTTACAAGAGCCGTAGTGGTGCAGTGGTTAGAATGCAGTATTGCAGGCTAATTCTGCCAACTGCCAGGAGTTTGATTCTGACCAGTTAAAGGTTGATTCAGCCTTCTATCTTTTGTGGTTGGTAAAATGAAGATGCAGATTGTTGGGGAAAATATGCTGACTTTGTAAACTGCTTAGAGAGGGCTGTAAAACACTATGATGCGGTACATAAGTCTAAGTGCTACTGCTACAACCATTGCAACATCCACATGGTCACGTAATCAAAATTCAGGTGCTTGGCAACTGGCATGTACTTATGATGGTTGCAATGTTCTGGGGTCATGTGGTCTCCTTTTGTGACCACTTGAAGCCAGATTTACTTAATAACCATGATACTAACTTAATAGGTACAGTGATTCACTTAACAATTGTGACAAGAAAGGTTGTAAAATTGGGCAAAACTCACCTAACAACCAAAATTTTGGATTCAACTGTGGCCTTAAGACAACTATATGTCTGTATATGTCTCAATATATATGCTAGGGATGCCATCATTGAAAAAGAAAGGGAAACATCAAGATATCCTCCACATGCCTCCTTACTTATGTTTGAATTCTGGAAATGTGTTTGACCCAATCCTCTGCACAAATGTTAAATGTGGCCTCAGTCACAAATATCCATCCCAACAGAAGCATACAACCTGAATTTCAGGGTCACAGATAAATCCTCAAAGCCTTATTTAGGCTCACAGAGCCCTCAAAATGAACTAAATGTATAGTTTTTGATATGACCATAAAAGAAAAAAAATAAACATATAGAAATTAACCATAATTAACCATATTTAAGTAGAATATTATATATAGATAGTTGGGCTGATTGCAGCTTTGCACTCTACCACGCCCTGAACTAATGCATGCCACGATCTCCCTCACCCTTCGATGCTCCCCTGCATTCTGCTTAGTGAGCAAAGCAGTCATGTGGATGCCTTGACTTATGACCAAAATTCTGGTCCCAACTGTAATTGTAACTTGTATCAGTGAAAATCGTATTTGGGGGCAAAATTCCTTTTCTGTATTCACAAATATCAAATAGGTTATTACTATTGTAAAGTGGCATTTCATATTTGTTTAAGTTTGAATTAAATTACCATAGATTATACCTGTTGCATTTAGTTTGTTTTTATTATTGGTTCAAGTATGTTGAACAGTATTCTGATTATTTTTAAATGATCTACTGTGATTTGCTGAAGTATTTCATACAATAAAGATAAGTAGAGTAAAATTCTGAAAATACATTACTTACTTTTCTGGCTCTTGAGGATGTGGCTTATAAATTAGTCTCTCATCTACTGACACCAGGTTTGTAAATGAAATCTATAAGAAATTTAATTTAAGCTTCAGCATGAAAAAATAATCCAGTAAATACAATTAACTTGAGACAGCATAATTTAATAAGCATAGATTATATTGGCTTCCTCAGATACAAATTTAATTGTACTTTCTCATAAGACCATGATACACAAATGCATTATGATCTATAGCTATAATAATAAAGTAATCCATTTCACTTGGGGGGATACCATTTTAGAAAAGACGGTCAATTTTACAAAGTACAAAAAGATAGTTTCTGAGAAAAATCTGAAATTCTAAGGACTTTAGAAGGAGTATCTTTCTAGCATTCTGCCACCTCTGAAGAGATACTTGGAAGTATGACTTACAGGAATTAAGTCTACTAGAATGTTTAAGTTCATTTGTGTAATACTTACATTAATAGACTTGAGCTCCATTATTTTCTCAACTGGGTCAACTACAGAGTGCTCTTGAACATAGGTTCTCATTCTACAAGCACCAATAAGCTAGAAGATAAATATAGCATTAGCTGCATTGTGACATAAGCACAGCATCAAAAGCTGAATTACATTATGCTATTTTGGGGGCATGAAATAAAAGAAGAAACAATTTGTAATTTTTGCGCCGAGTTTCCCTTCCATAAAGGTTTGTTTTAAAATATAAATAGGATTTTCCTGCTTTTCTACCGTGATTTAATTGAACCTCTTTCAAGCCAGCATGTGAATCAAATGCGTACACCCTTTATAATTGTACAAAATTCAACCGTCCATTTACAAGTGTAGCATGCTCTTGATATATACCCACAATGGAAGAATTTCTGAAAGACTCAATGGGTCATGAGTTGTCTAGTATACATATATATGCATAGAAATATATAAATTAATAAATATCTATAAACTAACATTTCTTTCTCAATTTATAAAACTTTTCTGCATTTAAGTTGCCATTTGCAGAAAAACTATCCTTATACTTAGTATGTTGCTAAAATTGAAATTACTCGACCAACTAATTTTCATGCTATCCAAAACAGCATAAAGGATGTAATCTGAGGAAAAAAGAAACAATAAAACAATTCAACTTGCTGTAACATGCAGTTGTTTATGATGTAACAAGCACAATGGATTCATTCATCAGCTATAAGGAGCTGTTGCACAATCCAATGTACCAGTCACCTTTATTATAAAAAATCTAAATGAATACGCAATAGTAACTTTCTGTGAGAATTTGGTCTATATTCAAATTCTGAATACCACTTGGTTATAGAAATATTCACCTTTTGTATATTAAATAACAGACATTCTAAAGAAAATGTAATGCAATATGCTACAATGTGTACTATATGCTATATTTTGTAAAACCAAAGTCAAATGACGTACATTCAAGAAAACTGTTGAAAGCCCTAACTGGCACTTACTGATTTTACAATGGATGGCATTCCCCATTCTGTACTCAGCAGCCGGTGGCTATGTAATTTTCCATTAGTGTCTACATGCCGGTCCAAAACATCAACTCCAACTACGCTGGGATTCATGGGATTGGGGTATTTCTGCATAGCAGCTGTAGTAACAGTCTTCCAGGGGTGACTATAAAGCAAAAACAAAAATACAAGGATGGCCATCTTTCATTAGACTACATGACACATAGATGGGCAACCAGTGATTAGCAAGCTGTTTGTTCCTCAGGGGTCAATTAAAAAAAAAATCTCAATCCTCTCCAACGTAGTCTGACAACAAGCCATATGTTTTTTGGTGCATGGGTATATATTATCAAGCCTCCAGCAAGCTTAATTTAAGTACTTTGCTCATAATCATTTCAAAGCAAAATGAAAAATGTTTAAAAGGTTAACCCAAATATATTTTTTCAAAAGGCAACTGGAACATATTTTGTTTTTTGTTAAAAGATTCCCCATCCAAGAAGCTTCTTCAATTCTGAACGAATGGTGATGTTTAAAAGGTTAAAAATTAATAATTATTAAAAATTAATATTCACCCAATATCATCCCACATATACAACTATAGGCTATTGTATGGAGAGATAGACAGAAGTATAGTGAAAAAGATAACACTCTTCTCCCTGCAAAATATATAGATAACCTTCAAATTCAACAAATACTTTCACCAAAACATACATCTAGCCTTTCCTTCAGGGGCTCCTATCAGCCTACATAGCATTTCTAAAACCCTGTTGCAGTAGGCTGAATTAAGAAGCATCATATGTAAAAATGCCTCTCTCCCACACCCAATCCCCTAGAACTGAAGTATCTGACAAAACAAGATGTAAAACTAAACTGAGTTACAGAAACAAAAAAGCTACTTTAAGCAGCTCAAATACATAAAATTAGTTACCGTATATACTCGAGTATAAGTCGACCCGAATATAAGCCGAGGCACCTAATTTTACACAAAAAAACTGGGAAAACTTATTGACTCGAGTATAAGCCGAGGGTGGGAAATGCAGCAGCTACTGGTAAATTTCAAAAATAAAAATAATTAATTTGGGAAACGATCTCACTATCATGAAAGGTTTAATTGATTCACTAACCCAAAAGAAGATGATGATGACAGCGGGAGGCAGGAGTCACTCTCTTCCCCTCCCTCGGAGGCCCCCTGAGTCAGGAGTCACTACTGCCGGCCCGGCCCCAGTCCCGCCGCCTCGGGAAGGGAAAGGCAAAGCGCTTTTTGCCTTTCCCTTCCCGGCTGGGGCTGTTGGGAGTCGCTGCCGCCAGAGGCCGCGACTCCACACCATTTTTTTTTTCAGAGGGGAATCTAACTCGAGTATAAGCCGAGGGGGATTTTTTCAGCACAAAAATTGGGCTGAAAAACTAGGCTTATACTCGAGTATATACAGTACATATATATTCTGTCAAGTCGGGAAAAAGATAAATTCCAAGTTAAGTGAGGGAGATCTTATGCACAGAAAAGTTTTCAATGGCTAGTTCTGTTTACTTGTGTTTGTTTCTGGGTTAAAAGTAATAGCCTCACCATTTACCTTTACCTCAAATCAAGTACTAAGAGGCTCCTTCAGCAGGTGGTAGCATCTAGCTGACCTTAGATAACAAGGGTTGTGTCTCTTTACTTAGATGAGAGAACATCAGGAAATTCAAGGGCTGAAAGGTTGACTAGTAAGTTGAATAAACATCAGGGAAGCTTATGGAAACTGCTCCAATGCTGCTGCAAATGGACAGCAGGAGCCAAACTTAGCTGAAGAGTACTTCTGACCTTTCACTGAAAAGCTTAACAGGGTTCTACAGCTCAATTGCCTGGATCTGCATCCACTTTCAATTTCATAACGGAAAAAAACATAAGACAGTGACTAGGACTGTTCAATTGACACCAGAGAGATCCAGATTCAAAATCCATTCTCAACTGTGGAATCTCATGGGGTGTCTATGGAGTCAGCCACACTCTCAGCACAACTTAGAGAGTTGTTGTTTGGGGAAAATTGAAGAAAGTGTGATATGTTTGAATGGAAATATAAAACAAACAAAATACATTGTGTGCCCAAACCTAAGAAACTTCTAAAATAGTTCATATTAAAATATGTACGAAACTGGATCCTCCACAGAACACATTTTCTCTATTTAAAAAAAGGACACAAAGAACAAGAGGCTGTAGACTATAAACTAAGAGAGTGACAGACAATATATGATCTAAAGTAGGGTGTCCAATTCGTGGGCCATATGCAGCCCTGGACAGCTAATAATGCAGCCCCACAATATAATGAAAAATATTAAAAATAAAGGAAGTTTCTTATTTATATCCATTAACTATATATTTTATAAGTAGCCCAAGAGAATTCCTCTTTATTCAATCTGGCCCAGGAACGCTAAAAGGTTGGACAATCATGATCTCAAGGTACACGTTTTCCAGACATACATGAGGTTCCCCAAAATTTGAACATTTCCCAACCTACTGGTATTTTGAAGGGTCTTAAAGACCTAACTTTTCCCCCAGGCCTTTGGAAAGGTCAACTGATGCCTCTTTCTTCTGGTTCCCCTCTGGATTTGTTTTCTTTGCCATCACTGTTCTTTTGATTTATGCTATTTTGGGAGGGGGTTGTATTTTTTGTTTTTAAATGTTTTTAACAATTGTAAACTCCCAAGAGTTGCTGTGAATTTAAATTTATATAAATTTAACAATATAATTTCTGAAAAAGATACAAGGAAGAGTAAAACATTAGGCATTAATGTTTAATCTTAACAGACGACTTTGGGAAAATGACAGCTCTCTTCAAATACCTGAAGGATTCCACAGTTAAGAGCTGTCCTTTATTACTCCAGACAACTGGCCAGGGAATAAAGAACTTAAAGTGGAAGGAGGTTTTTGGTTGAAAGTTTAGAAAAAGCTTCATAAGAACAATTCGACACCTGCTGAGGATGGCAGGTTATGCTCAAGCAGAGCCATTTGCCAAGATGCTTTAATTTGGATTCTAGAACTAGCAAGGGGTTGGTTTTAGAGTGGCCTAAAGGAATCCTTTCAAGTCTACACACCTACCTAGAGAAAGAGAGAGAAGGTAATACTGTAATTTCCCAGGACAACTGCTCTGTCACAATCATGCTGTAAACAAAAACATAACTGAAAGCTAAACACTAGCATTGTATTATATAATTCCTGCTTCTGAAAAACAGTCAAGCTCATATCTTCAGCTTTTTCTTCTGCCCCCCCCCCCCCTTTCCCAATCACAGTGTTTATAATCAAGCATACTATATGTACATATCACCATTTGTCCTTAAGGC